ACTCGCACCGATTTTTTTTTTTTTTAATTATTTTAGTACGGAGAATTTAAACAAATTCTCCAGAAGGCAGTTGGCAGGCAGTTCACCGGTATCACCTCCATCTCATTTACCTCCTGCGTCTCCTTCCCATTCCAATCTCTTTATAATTCCCCCTGTTTCCCTATCTCGCTAATAATCCTCTTCCTTCTTCTTCACATGGCGGGATCTTTGTCGCTTCTCCGGCGTCTCTACCTCTCCATCTACAATTGGACTGTCTTCTTCGGATGGTAACTTCACTTACTTTTCTTCACACAGATCTCTTCTACTCACCCGAATCTATTGAATCGGAATTGTTGTTGTAATCGTTTGTTTGTCTGTTTCAGGTGTCAGGTTTTGTACTTTGCTGTGAAGACGTTGACGGAATCCGGCCACGAACACGTCTACAATGCCGTTGAAAAGCCTCTCCTGCTCGCTCAGACGGCTGCCGTTTTAGAGGTAGGCGACGCCTGAGGTGTTTTTTTTATTTCTTATTTCGTCTATTTCTCTGTTGTTTTCTCGGAGAACGTCTCTCTCCTGTAAAGTTTTTCGCGATTTTCGCTCGTGGAACTCGAGCAACCTGACATTCGCTTATACTGATAGTGATAACTTCTAATTTATGCTCTTTGGGTTTGGATTTTGTTTGGGAAACAGATTCTTCATGGTTTGATAGGTGAGTAGGAGATAATTTAATTACAATTGATCGAATTTGAAGTTTATTTAGGAAGCAGAAATTAATATCTAGTTTTGCTGATTGCAAAAGGTTTGGTGAGATCTCCAATATCGGCAACACTGCCACAGATTGGATCAAGATTGTATGTAACTTGGGGCATCTTATGGAGTTTTCCTGAGGTTAGGATCTTAAAAACGATTTTTAATTGTGTAAACATTTTCGTTCTTTTATTTTTTACTGAAGGATAATTTTTTATCATCAGATTCAGAAGCATGTACTGGTTAGCTCCCTAGTAATCAGTTGGTCAATTACAGAGGTGAGTGTTATAGATTATCTTATCATTCACTGCAAAATCGATCTACCTCATTTATTCTTTTAGTGGCTTTTTTTTTTTTAATTCCTACTTGAATTTGTAATAATTGGAATCTACCAACTGTATGAAGAAATTACTCTTTGAATAGCCTGATAAAGTGTTAAATATTTTTGCTGTAATTACATCTACACTAGGACCAGCTATCATGTTAAGTTGCAAGTAGTTGGTGCTTGAGAATGGAAATTCTATTTTTAGGCAGTGCCCAGTTTAACTCATTCTCATTGTTGTCAGTAAAATATATAAAATGAACTCTTTCTTACTGGTTTAGTTTTTATGGCTTAGGGCATTCACTGTTGATTGATTCCTTATTTTAAACCATTATGACATTTTCAAATAGGAGCGGTGATTGCTTCTTGTGATTCTGCCTATGCTGAAACAGGGAAATCCACACCTGAGATTTTCCAGCGTCACTTTTTTTGGTTATATCTAGGAAGATTGGTCAATATTGATGCCTATGCTTTGTAATGGTTTTTATTTATCTATAATGCCAATTATCTGATAGACTTGAACTTCAGCAAATTTATTTAAGTCACTCTATGTATGAATGGTGAAATTTCCTGTAGTAATTCTTAGATAGCTTCTAATATCAATCTCATGTTAAGTTGAATGTCAATACTGAAAGTTTATCATCTTGGAATTGCAGATTATTCGTTATTCTTTCTTTGGCACAAAGGAGGCCTTCGGTTCTGCTCCTTCCTGGCTCTTGTGGCTCAGGTATGAAGCGTTTCCTTCTCATCACAATAAATTAGATCACCTCTGTGTGCCTCTCCCATTAACATTCAATTTATGCCATACAGGTATAGCACCTTTCTGCTGCTGTATCCGAGTGGTATAACCAGTGAGGTTGGTCTAATATATAATGCCCTGCCGTACATCAAGGTAACAACTTTGATCAGGTGAAAACTATACAGGGTCACTTTTCCCTTTAAAAAAATATAAAAAGAATCCACAATAGACAATTGCCTGATATTTTACATTAAAATGAATAGTGTTTAAGTGTAGTATAGGTGAAAAGATCCTTTTTCTGTTCAAAGTATTGCACTGATTTCTTGAAAAGAAAACATGACATTGTCTTATTTGACTATAGTTTGACTGGACAAGGGTGTGGCTAAAGAGTATATACTTATAGTGGCCAGTCAACATTGAAATGCAAAAGAGTTTTAACTTTTGGTCTGCTGCCCATCCATGGAGAATGGGATCCCCTAATTGCTGCTGCAAGCAATAGCAGGCAGCTGAGGTCAAGGATCAATTCAATGCCAATACTTGACCTTGTGGGCAGCAAAGGAGTTTAACAGATTCAGTTGTTATTTGCCAAAATCTCTTCAAAGGAATTGAAGTAATTCACTAGTTTGAACATGCTAAGTTTAATTCTCAGTTATTCACTAAAAGTTGAAAGAAGAAAAAAGGTTGAGCATTCTGATACTGGCTTCTGCTAAATATTTTTAACTCATTCATTGCGACTTGCAGCCAACTAAACTTGGGGGTGATGAATTGCAGGGATCTGAAAAGTATTGCCTAAGAATGCCAAACGAGTGGAATTTCTCTTTCGACTACTTCTATGCCGCAATTATCGCCCTTGGAATCTATGTCCCAGGCATGAACCTAACCCTCCACATATGCTTCTGCATGGTATTTATTGTTTTGCTGGCATTTGTTTGCTGTCTTTTACTAAACTGGAGACTAAAATTTCATTGCAGGTAGTCCTCACATGTACACATATATGTTGGGGCAGAGGAAGAAGGCTCTTGCCAAATCAAAACGGGAATAGAATTATACAACCATCTTCCATGTACTGTACGTTATTCTAATTATCTGAACATTTTTATGTGTATCATGTCATTCTGTTGTAAATGTTAGTGTTTCACGTTGAGTCCCTACCAAATATGGAATGTCTCAAATGTCTGCATCTGCGTTCTCTTGTCCAGGGCCTGAAAACTTCACCTGCTCAACCAACTCCTCAAGTTAGATCCCAAGTAGTTCAAGGAAATATTCTATATTGAAATGGTTATGAGTGGTGTTATAGAAATAAATTTTTTATATTAATTTTTTTATACAACATTTATATGTTAATAAATGAGTGGATGTATTAATATCATGAGTTTCACATGAATAAAAAAAATCAATTATTTAAATGATACGTCAAGTTGTACCAAAAGGTTGTTCCAAAATCATTTTCTAACGGTTATTTATCTTAATTATTTGAAATATCTTATCAATTCAATAAGATGTTAATTACTCTTTGTCTCATTATAACATTATTTTTTATTTTTTTTAAAATTAAGAATTTAGGAACTATTTATATATTTACTTATATTATCCTTTAGATAAAGTTAAAAAAATAAAGTAAAATTTTTTATAATATGATAATTAATCAAAATGAATAAATAACGATAGGGTTAGAGTAAAGAAAGAATAGTTGTCTATCTTAAAAAATGAAAAAACAATAATTAATTTAAGCAAACTCAAAGTAAAAAACCCACAATTATTTTGGGATGAATGGAGTATTAAAAATATAAAATCTTATCTTAATTTTAATCTTAATCTTAACTATATATAAATTGTTATAAATAAATATCCAATTGACTTGAATAATATCTTCAATAAATATCTAATTATTTAAATGACACATAAAATTATACAAAAAAATTGTTCCCTTTTTCTTCTTATTTTGTTCTTCATTTCATTAATCATAATTAAAAAAATATAAAATAGAAATTAATATTTTTCAGGTTCTAAGTCTTAAAAAATTAATATTTTAGTAAATTAATAACTTCCAGTACAAAAAAAAAAAAAAACAAACAAGCAAACAAACTCTGAAATAGTTTTTTATTAAGTACTACAATTCACCCTTACTAGGAAATAAGAAGTCTAATTATATTAGTGATGTATGAGATTAAGAAAAAAAATGCTTCGTCATTGCTCTTGCTAGGGTTTTCCCTTCCTTTATAGGTGGCAATTTTCAACATGGGTATTGTCCTTTCTAACAAAGATCGTGTGGGTTGAATCTCTTCAATATTGATTGTAATGATTCAGTCCACTATTGATATTGTTTATTAAAGTTAGGTGGTAATTTTCAGCATATGTATTATCCCCTTTGACAAAAATCGTGTGGGTTGAATTTCTTCAATTTCATGATTTTAAAATGTATCAATAGGGATTAATAGATGTTGCCTAGAAGCTAGAGGTGTTATATACACACTGTTAAAAAAAATTAAGTGTCATATATACCCATTTTGGAACTTAGGGTCTTTGCTGAGGTTTATGTTGAGGTTTGCCCCACTACCATTTAAGAGGTCATGTGGAGTAACACTAATACTATATATAACAACCCAACTCACTATTAGTTGTGTTCGTTTCAGTCCATTATGTCTTATGGTTTTAGAACACATTAATAGACGTTAATAAGTGTTAACTTATATACCCAACATCTATCTCATGTTTAGTTAATGTGAGATTTATTTAGAAGTGTCACATTTCATGTTTTGTTGACGTGAGATTTACTTAGAAGTGTCACACTTTGTAGGAGTTTTAATTTTTCCTCTTGTCCTTCAAGGGTTTCTCCAGTGAAGGTCAAAAGGGTTTATCATGTTGTGTGAGATGGGTGCCAGTAAGGAATTTTGTTTTCGGACTCGGACTTGGCATGATGATTGACGGGGGTTGCTACGGTTTCTTTGGGCCAAGGTGTGCTTCCAGCGGATTTGGTTGCTATCATCATATTTTGATTGTTGGAGGTGTAGGTTACTTTGGTCGGTGCGTCACTATGCTCTTGCTTGGCTGGTGGTGCAGTGGGTTGGGTGCTGCTTGGTTCTAGGTTCAAGGATAGGTGCTGGTGAGATGCTGCTTGTTTCAATTGATTGTAACTGTCAACAAAAGTGGTTTATTTGTGATGGTGGTGTTTAATAGGGGGACATATTTATGTTCCCATTCTATTTGATCCTTGTTATAACAAAGCTACCATAGTTGTCAGGTGTATCAGATTCATAGTAGTGTAACTAATGTATTGAGGGGTAGGATAACTAAGTTTTCGTGCAGATCTCTTAATTGTCTTTTTTTAGAAGTATTTATTTTTCAAGCTATTTTATATTTTATGAAATTTATATATATTGTAGCAGATAAAAATTATAAACTCTTGAAATGTCTCTTTTTCAGGTAAAGTTGATTTGTAATATTTTATCTCAATTATTAATACAAGATAATTCTTAAAGAAATCTAATTATATCAAAAATATTTTCTCAATACCCAAAAAACCATAATGCATGGGAAGATAAAAAATTTATAATAATATACTAAAGCATGATTAAATATCATGGGAATATCTTTATTAGCATTTTAAATATTAAATGATACTTGATTTGTGATAAATTGCTAATTAAAAATAATAATAAAATTTACTCATGATATAAAATTTTATGTTCCTTTTTATGAAAATTTGTCCCCATTTTTAAAATTAAAAATATTAAATTTGTGCATTTAAATCTTGTTTTATGTTTACTATTTAAATTTTTTTATAAATTATTACATTAAAAATGAGTAATTATTAAAATGAATAATTTAATATATATTTTTAGTTAATTAATTATTAATATAAAAATTTATAATTAATAAATATCTAATCAAATTTAACACAGATGAATTGTGCAAAACACACCTTAAAGACTAGTATTAATTAAAATCAATTTAATTATAATTTAAAATATTATAATGTAATTTGTACCACACAAATTACATTATTTTTAATTGTTGTTGAAGAAAAAGCTACAATATCGTGTGGCCTAACCCTCCATCCTTGGTTAATCTCTACTTTTCTGATAACCAAATAACATTTTTAATATTGGAACTAATCTTAACCTCAGCCTTGATAAATTTTTTATGAGCTCATTGGGCCACTCAGAACTTTGAGTTTTAAGTGGGTTAAAATACCAGTTTGGTCCCTAAACTTTCATATTTATAAAAAACATTCTTAAACTTCAAAATGTACTAAAATGGTTCTTAAGCTTCATTTTTCAATGCCAATTTCATTCTTCTATCAATTATGTAATGACGAGGCCAACTTTTTTGTCCAAAAATTTATTTCCCTTAATTTTGAATATTATGTGGAAAGAGGATGGAAATTTAATCAATTGTGATAGTTTTTCATGTTGATGTGGATTATTTTATTTTTACTTTTGTTATGTGTCATCCAAAAAAGTTATATATAAAAAAATATTTCTAAATCATTTTTATATAAAAAGGAAAGTGACTACTACCAACAAAGACTTCTCTAAGCTAAAACTATTCATCTTGAGTGAAGGCTTCGATGAAGGTTTTTTAGATTTGTTTTAAATAAAAACATGATGCTAACAAAAATCTTACACTCTTCTTGAAGGAAATTCTCATCAACAAACATAAATTTTTCACAAATCAAATCCTTTGACCATAGCAAATAGATTATCATATGGATAAAAAAAAAAAAAGGAAAAAGAAAAACCCAAAATACATAAACACAAGAAACTCAAAACTTGGATTTGAACCATGCCTGAACAATCTAGATTCAAACCATAGCTGAACAACCAAGATTAACACAATAAAACCTAAAAATTCTTATCATGGTGGTGGAAGATCCTTTAAATAATCTATGTTCTCATGAGGCAGAGAAACAAGATTTGGAAGTATGAACCTAGACAAACAGACCTCGCAATTGGGGGAAGAAGAGGAGCAAATAGAAACAAAATAGAGCAAACATTGCCAGAAAAAATGAGTGCGTTCTTTGTTTATCTCGAATGTGTTAAAAAAATAGTATCAAACAAAAATAGGAAAAGGGGAAAAAAAAAAAAGGAAATCAGGAAGCATGATATCACTTTTCTTAGGACATCAAAATGCCCCTAGGATACAATAGAAGTAAAACCAAACTCTCTTAATTGTAAATGTTAAGGAATTACTTGTTAATCTCTTAGTGAATTCTAAACCCTACTTTATATAAAGTGTGGACACCTCTTCATTTGCAAAGTTAAAGAGACACAACCATGTGCCTTTTCATTTTGCAACCCCTCATGTCCACCGTTTGATGATTTTTGTGAAGGGATTGGATCATATCTGATCATAAATGTGATGATCAGACGTGTCCTTAACTATTTACCAAAAATGACATGTCCTTAATTTGCAACTAAAACATGTCCAACGGACATGACTTTGACTCACTTTTGGCATTTTTTGCCATTTAAAATTCAAGGACAAGTACTATATATAGTTTGATAGTTAGGTCCTTCTAAGTTTAAAACATGTTCAAGGTGCCTGCAACACTTTTCAACTATCCAACAAAATGGGTTCTCAGGATTGAATTGTTGTTGTGCTTTGTGTTTATTTCTTCACCTTTGCGCCAATCACTAGCTGAATACTTGGATCTATGATGCATGAAGGCAAGGTTGTTAATGAGTCAAGTTGAGTACCTAAGTACTCATGCTCAAACTAGCCTTAAAATTTTGAGTTCAAGTATTTGTCAAGCTTAAAATAGTTGAGCTCGTACTCAAGTTTGCGAGTATTCGAGTGAGTTCGAACTTATTCAAAATCTCGAGTCAACCAATACTTTAACTTAGATTTGAGTTTTTCTTCCTATAATTCCAAAATTTTTCAATAACTAATTATTTAACCATAAATTTTTCTATATTTTTCAAAAATATTGTAGAATCAAAAGCTTAAACATATTAACTCTATCAATAAAAAAACAACCATAAACTCTATTCAAGCAATTTTATTAATGGTTATAACTCAGAATATGTAACTTATTTAAATTATATTTTCAATGTTGTAAAGTTTTCAAGTATTTATATATTTAAATTTAATAAATAAATATATAATGTAATTTTTCTCAACTGAGTACTTGCAAGTGGCTTATAAGTAATCATGAAAGCAAAAGCTCAAGATCCTTTTTTTATTTTTTATCAAGCTCAATATTAAATTTAAGCTTAAGTAACTCATGAATTTCTTGTGAATTACTCTACTCGTTAATAGCCTTACATGAAGGAATAGAAGAGGACAATCAGTGGTGGAGAATAGGCTAATCAAAGCCCTAACAAATCTCATTGTTGACTTAGAGACACAGGGAAGGAGAGTGGAAAGGATGAAGAAGAAGTCAGGTATATGGTTGTCTTTTTAGTTTTTAAAACTATTGTTTTTTTTACTAATTTGTTCAAATACGTCTCTAATGTTACCATATTAGCAATTCAATTAACATTAGTTTTGGAGTTTAGTTACCAAGTTAACAATTCAATTTAAATTTAGAATAAAACAAAGGCATTTTTTTAGACTTAATGTGCCATTTAGGCACATAACTGAATAAAGGATAAAACCGGTAACCAAAAATAAAGTTCAAGGATTATTTTGGTACTTTTTCAAGTTCAAGGATATTTTTGATACAAATCTGAAAAAACAGGGACCAAACTAGTATTTTAACCTTCTAGGTTCCTTGATAGTCAATTATATCACTGAGAGAGGTGGATTCATTAACTCACCCCTTTGTCTTCCCATAAGCCTGGCGCCGGAATACAAACTTTCTCGCTTTTCAGTTGTTCATTACTTTATTTTAGTAAAGGTCTGACACAAGACCGAGAACTAAAAGCTTCACATACCAAGCATAAGACCATGTACTCATTAGCCCAGGAGATTTTTGAACCCCTAGTCCTATTTTGTTAATAGTATATGTACTCATGTGGGTTGTGGTTCTTTACCTTTTCTTTTCTTTTTTTTTTTTAAAGGCCTATTTGGTTGCTCAAGAGCCTGAAAAGAATATTTGACAAGTCAACATTTAAAAGCCAATAAGTTACATTCAAGATTTTCACTTTTTTTTTTTTTTTTTGCATAAATTTCAAAATTACAATATAATTGATTATATTGTTGAGATAATTAATGATATAAGTATATATGTGGTATAATTAATTACATTTTTGTTGTACATGATTATATACTCAAAAAGAAGGGAATGTTTGGTTACCAAAAAACTCGAAGAGAATATCTTAGCTAGGAAGCCAACATTGGAAAGCTAGTTGGCTGCAACCAGGATTTTCACTTTTTTTAGCAAAAATCCCAAAATTGCAATATAATTGCTCTAATACTGTTGAGATAATTGATTCAGTGGGGCATTTAGGTAATATAATAGATTATTTTTTTGTTGTAAGTGATTATATATCTTAGAAGTAAATTTTCTAGGAGATTTTTTCAGAAAGCAATTTTCCTTATTATATCTTTAGATATAAGTGCTTATATATCTTTAACCCTGAAAAATATATTCCAAATGCGAGTCATGGCTCAACAGCTCACAGCTTTGTTGGATATTATTTGTGGGGTCTTGGACAACCAAACAGACCCCAAATTTTTCAGGATATTTTTTTTTAATGTACTTTTTAATGTATGCAATTGATTATATCTTAGATATAAGTGCTTATGCACCTTGAATCAAGAAAAAAATATTTTGAGTGCCAATTATGACTCAACAGCTCACAACTTCCCAAAATATTTTTTCTAGGTTCTTGAACAACCAAACAAGCTCCAAATGTTAGTCCTTCATTGTAGAGAACCATAATATTAGACTTAAGCTCAGTTTGGTCGGTTTTGGCTATTAGGAATAATTTGATAACTGTACTTGTTAATCAGTAATTAATATCTAGTACTTGATATTTAATTTAAAATTAGTCTATCTAAATTGTAATTATTAACTAAACCACACATAACCTTCAACAGAATTGTAGCAATTTTTTTTTTTTTTATGAGTGCAGTAAACTTTTTTCAATTAAAGAAAACAGGGGATCTTTCATGGAAACAATTGATCCATAGTATAATTGGATGGAGTGGGAATTAGTTGAAAATTTATAAAAATAAGGCAAATTGTAGTTATAATGGTACATTACATTACATACATTACTTTCACTTTCTTTTTCTTTTTTTCGTTTTTTTTTTTTTTTTGTTTGGCCTTTTCACTAATTTTCTTTTAGCATAAGTGTTTCTTTAAGGGAGAAGAGAGAGGAGTCATTATTAACCATTACCAACCATTACTTCTTATTAAAAGTAGATTATTGTTGGTCATGAATAGGTATTCCTTGTACATATGTAACATTATTGTTATAATTTAACTCATAAAATATAACTAGGGAATATGTCTTTCTCCAACTAAACGATCTCCATGCTCTTACTTCTTATCCCTCAAACTTAAACCTAAATAAAGAGTTTTATTTAGTTTAGTTGTAGTTTTTATAGAATAATTGTTTTAATAGATCCTTCTTATTAATTCATTTAAAATAAACATTAAAAAGTTTAATAAAAATAATCAAATTTAGAAGTTCCTTTTTATTTTTTATAAGACATAATGGGACCATACAATATAAATAACTGTTTTCTATACAAAATTTATCTCTCATTTATTTTAAAATTTAAACTTAAAATCTTTAATATAGAGAGCCTCTCTCTTATATATTGAGATACTTCTCAAGATATTTTCTAATGGTATGTTTTATTTGAAGAAAATAAAAAGAAATGGAGAGGACAGTGCGAGAGAGGAAGGAAGAAGAGGGGAGAGGAAGTGAGTGTAAAGATAAGTAAAATAATTTTAAAAAATGATGTAATTAAATACTTTCCTCTCTTTTTTTCTATTTCTTTATAATTAAATAGATGATTTTTTTTCCCTCCCCTCTTACAAACATACTAGAGAAGTAACACGTTTAAAACTTAAACTTAGAAGTTGAAAACAACTTGAAAGAAAATAAACGAAAATCCTTTTTAAAAATTTGTTTAACCCACCTACTAAAACTTTTGTTGCTAAGAAATTTTTTTTTCCAAAGTTTAGTTAAAAGTAAATGTATATGACATAAAATTATCCAAAACAATTAATGATGGAAATTTTCACGACTGTTTAAAAATAAATAATAATAATAACAATAATAATAATAAAAATAATGGAACTTGTGAACCTGCAAACCTAAACCCTCAAACCCTTCGTTAGGGTACACACTACTACAACCTGCAAAATCTGAAACTTTGCATGGGTCAAGTTACACAGATACTTTTCTCTGGCACAATCTTTAATACTGTTCAGAATTGCAAATAAACTAGCAAACGCAAAACCAACCACACTTTAACGGGGTAAGGATTGTTTAGTTTAAAGGTCTACAAATAACTATAAATTATTGATTTTAATTAAATAGATTAAATATTTTAAATTATAAATAATAATAATTATTAAACATTAAATATCAATTATTAATTATTAATTATTAATTATATCTAAATAATTAATCTAAACAACCCTTTTAAGTTATCGTCATAATATAAATTATTACGGTTAAATTAAATTATAATTTTTTAATAATGAATTATAATATTTAGAATATTTATTTAAAATTAATTTTAACTAATTGACTAATAAATATTAATTATTTTAATTAAATACCAATTATTTTTAATAGTTAAATTAAATTAAAATTTTATCGACCATTGCCCGGTTTCACAAAAAATCCTAACAAACACGCTTCGTTTTTTAAACACCTAAAAATACTAGTCATGACCGCCCACAAAATATTAAAATAAATATTTTAAATATCATATCTAACCATAACTATTATTAAAAATTTACAAAGATAAGAGCAACCCTAAATTGTTTATTTTGGTAAAAATAACCCTAAATGGTTTGTAACCCTAATTAACAATTTACTAAGCCATAACCACAGCCCTAAAAAACAGACTAAAAATCTTTTCTTCACTCTTCTACATTCTCGAACAATTCCTCTCTTTTTCACAGATTCTCTAGTAACAAACAACCTGAAAATTTATTTAACAAGCTAAATCATGAATGAAATATTTATGTTCTCATTGATACATATAGTGTACACACAATTATACCCGATGGAAGACAACGTACAAGAGAGTTCTTGTAACTGGATTACTAATACAATTTAGACATACAATGGGTTAGCTTCAGATTTCATTAATTAATAAGAACCAAAATTCCCAAAACTACAGACCCTTGCTTAGTCTTACTTTCCCTCTTAACCAACATATGGTAACCTGCAGCAAATTCAGATATAAACATGACAGTTATCATCAAAGGGAGCTAAAATTAACTTTATATTATGCTGTAAATATTGAGCACTTAAATGCCACTCACCCCAGCTTCAAGGATGTATCTGAACTGTCATCATGGTCGTGTGGAGTTCTGTTGGAGATGCAAACATTGGTTACAGACTCCGATGACTGGCCTTCTTCATATATCACATTTCCGGAATCAGCAGCTAATTGTTTCTGGCCATTAGATATCTGTAAAACCTTTAGTTCATTATGATGATTAGTCACCATTAGTGTTGGTGGGGGTCAGAAGCAATGAGAAAAGAGCAAGAAGAAGACAGAAAATTTAAATATACTTGCTGTCTCAAGCGCTCATTCTCTTCCATCAATTGCATTCCCTGCATTTTTGAGAGAGAAATAGTTAAAATTAATGTTTCATGGAATATAAAAGAATATTAAGAAAGTTAGATGATCCTTAATTTTAGACTTCTATCTTTTCTTCCATGGCTAATTTGCATTTCGTAAAACTAGATTATGAAACTGACCTTTGTTTGAAGGTCACTGATTTCTGTCATTATCTTATCACCCTGAAATGCATACAGAAGGGCAATAGTTGAGAGATAAATTCATATAATAACAGTTGCAAGCTGCTTTGGTTGCATAACATATTGAGAAAATAGACCTTTTTCTGTATGACACGGGTTAATCCAGCTTCGAGAGACTTTTCCAAATGCTGTAATTCTTCGAGACCTAATCCTTGGAGTTCCTCTCCCCTCATTTGCCTGTTTTACGTGAGATAATAATAACCTTGATATGCACACCAACATGAATGACTCGAAAAAAATAAAAAGGAATTTTAATACCTCAGTCGGTGACTTTTCTCTGCAATTTCTTTGCTTAGCCTGGAGTGGTTGCTATCCTCTACAAGCTACAAAAAGAAATGATATTGAGAAGAGTTTCTAACACTTTATAGATTATTTGAGGTACTTGGGAGAAAAGATTCATAATGTTAGGGCTACATTAATTTAACCAGCAGATTGGATGGGGGATATTTATATTGTTATAGCATGCATCTTTCTGGAACCTGCAATTAGTTCAAATGATTGCATTAATATCAAAATTGGCATCCACATCCTGTAACAACCCACTATGATAGGCTTCAGTACATTCAACAGAAACCTAAGCAAAAGCTAGAGAGAATTAGAAGACAACCCACAAGCTCCTGTTTCCAATTCTCAAGCATGTCATCTATGTTGCTGGCCAAAAAGAAAAACTCAAGCACGTTATTCATGACATTTGTGTTTTCACCATAATATGAACTGTTTGGAATTGGACAAAATCATAACCCCAGTTAGATGGTGGGACCAACTATACATTCACGGACTTTCTTTTTTATGAGAACTGGGAGAAAATACATTCTACTTTTGAGTCATTGCACAGTTCTTTGATCATGAGATACAGGCTCCTACATATGATTAATAACTAACCTGCAGCTCAAGTGATGGTTGTTCCAACTTATCTAGATTCTTTGAGTGCAAATTACGCCTTTCTAATATTCCCTTCATGCTACAAAACACACAAAAAGTCAATAAGTAGTCGGTAGATTTGTCTAAATGTTTCCGCAGAATAAACAGGTATCATTTGAAGAATATGTATAGGGTGCATGCCAAGTATATATACATTAAGAAGGAGGTGAAGTAAACTACCAAAACAGGTGTGGCTTCTGGTGTTTTAGTCCACTTCTGACGATTACATGTATATATATCCACAACATGAAGGTAGCACATACACATGGATGCAAGAAAGACACATGGATGCAAGAAAGACGGACGGAATTTGGCTCCAAGAGTACAGAGGAACAAATATAGACTTCATAAACATTTTAGTCACTTTAGAATAGGAAATGAGTTGGATAAATTTTTTACCTTGCAAAGGTCACTAGAACTACTAATTAAACTAGTTTGGTCTTTGGAGTATAGATCCTTGAAAAGTACTAAAATCACAAATGCTTACAGCAACATGACCAATTCTAGCAACCAAGTACTTTGCTACCACAAAAAAAAAAAAAAAAAGGGAGTAATTTTTTCATGGAAAATAACTAGTAATTTGGTCATTATATATTATATGCTGTGAATTTGTAATAAATTAAAAAAATAAAAATAAATCTTTTATTTGAAGTAACTACCTCTACTTCTATTTTTTCCGCCTCAAATTTTCCTTGAATAGAATGGGCTGTAGGTAGATCTACTATAGTGTCTACCCAAAAATTAATACCTTCACATACAAATGTGGTACCACATTAATTAGATTTTTGCGAGAACTAGCTATAACATGTTACCACACAAAAAATTCTAAGTTTCAGTTTTCCTATGTGAAGAAACCTAGACAAAAAAAGAATATAGAGAAGATATATATGCTTGAAACTAGGGCATAATTCAAACACATATCAAGATATATCAGGGCTTCAACAGTGCCCTACCTAGGTTAGATGTCATTAGTACATATCGACTCCGAGGAAGCGAGAAAAAAAAAAAGTAACAAAAGAAACCCTCAATCAAATCCCTTGGACCACACAAAAAAAGTGAAGGAAGGAAGAAGGGGAAATCATCCAAAAAGAAGACCCAATTTCCCTGATACAGTAAATTTCAAGCTTCTATCTTTTCGTAATAATATCACTTCATGGTGTTAACCTAGCCCAAACTGCCACATTCTGGCCCTCATGATCAGAACAGGAGCTTGGTTTGTAGTTTTTCCAATTCTAAACAGTACAAAAAAGCATTTAAAAGAGTGGAGAAATGATTTTTTTTTTTTTATTTTTAAAGGAAAAAAATAACGTTTTTGGTGACAGACAGAGGAGAAGAGGCAAGATTTATAAAAGAAAATAAAGAAAATACAGGAGTATGAGTAGAGAAGAAGAACAAGGAAAGTTTAGGTTTAGGAGATGAAAAATAACAAAAACAATACTAAAAATGAAAGATCAAACAACACTAAACTCTTGAACAAACATAAATTCGAACAAGCCCTCGATTTATGAAATCCATTTTGGATTCCAACATGAGTGCAGTATCTTCAGCTTTTCTTATTTCCAACGAAGATCTTAACATGCCTGCAGCTAGCTAGAAAAACCTTACTTCTCGGAGCTCAAGAAAGATCAAATCTTCTTAAAGAAAAAATGAATTTTTATATATAGATTGATATATATACCCTGAGTTAGCATACTCAAAGAGCTTCCCAGTTGAGGAGAAGATGATGAGGGCAACATCGGCGTCACAGAGAATGGAAAGTTCCTCTGCTTTCTTGAATAGCCCTCTTCTGCGTTTGGAGAAGGTGACCTGCCTGGCCGTGGCGTTATCGATTTTCTTGATCTGAATCTTCTCCCTTGCCATTTGTTTGTTACTAAAAGAACACCAAACAATCAACAAGTTACCATTTTGGGGGCTACCCATTAATCAAAGCAGTGAATAAACCAGCATACAATCAAAACATTGCTACCAAAAACAATCAAAACATTGCTAAATATGGAGGTTGTGTGAGGGAAAAGCAAAGGGTAAAAAATGGTGGGATATTGCCAAATTTAGAGAAGTATCAGCACAAGAAACCCTAGTCAAAGACAGAGGAAACCCATATCAAGAATCAGATCTCGGACGTAAAGGGAAATGGGCAACAATTGCTGGCTGAAGGGAATGGATGAAGGGTATTTACTGCATTTTTACTTACCAGTTTGGGAGTGGGAGAGTGTTGATTGGGGGAGAGAATTGGTTCTTTTGTTTCCGATCAGGGAAAATAAGTCACCAATGAGAGTGAGAGAGAGAAAGCACAGACATAGCGTAATGCTTTACAAAGTGAAACGGAAAAGAAGGGAGCCTGGGTAGGGATAAGAAACACCCTTTTTGGTGAAGCAGCCAGGCAGGAAGTGGTGGTTTTTGTCCGTTTCCTTTCCTTTTCTTTATTTGTTTTTTTGGAAAGACTTGTCCATTTCCCTTCTAGTTCTAGCTTCTTGTTAAAAATCAATGGGGCGAAGGGAAAATGATACAACAATACATGCATATAGTAAAATTTATAATTA